ATATATTTAATAGATATATATGTTGACACTATCACATGGAGGTAGAGTTAAGGTTGGTACTAGATTGGAGTCCCAGGTCAGTCCCAGCCACATTTTAAATGACTTACCAGGCCAGCAAATGACTGTCTACATATATATCTATTAAATATATATATAATAGATATCAATGATTCCCAAAAGGCCCACTGGATTCATCATTATTTCATGGGGAGCTTGGTGAAAATGAATACTCCTCAGTTCTGTCCTAGATTTACTGAATAGGAGTCTCTAAGGATAAGAAACACCCCCCTGCAACCCTACTTTTCTTCAGCTGGAACCACCATCCTCCAGTAATTCGCCAAAATGACTAGCACAAAAGGAAAGAGGAGAGGCACAGCTATATGTTCTCTAGGCCTTTTAGAAAACACAGAGTTGTTCCTTTGGCCACATACATGCGCATCTACAAGAAAGGTGATATTGTAGACATCAAGGGAATGAGCACTGTTCAAAAAGGAATGCCCCACAAATGTTACCATGGCAAACCTGGAAGAGTCTACAATGTCACCCAGCATGTGGTGGGCATTGTTGTGAACAAACAAGTTAAGGGCAAGAGTCTTGCCAAGAGAATTAATGTTGTATTGAGCATATTAAGCCCTCTAAGAGCCAAAATAGCTTCCTGAAACTTGTGAAGGAAAATTATCAGAAAAAAGAAGGAAGCCAAAGAGAAAGGTATCTGGGTTCAACTGAAAAGTCAGCCTGCTCCACCCAGAGAAGCACACTTTGTGAGAACCCATGGAAAGGAGCCTAAGCTGCTGGAACCCATTCCCTGTGAATTCATGGCATGACAAGTGTAAAAAAATAAATGACCTCTGTACTAATAAGAAAAAGAGAAAGAAACACCACCCCCATCTTCCTCTCCTCCTTTCCTCTAGAGATCTGCTGCATAACAATGTGAACTCAACATTACTGAACTATACACTTAAAATGGTTAAGATGGTAAATTTCATATTATGTGATTTTTACCACATTTGAAATAAATAAAACAACTCTTGGAAAGTTCTGGGGACTTTTAAGCAATGTCCAAGAGGTGATGAACATGTTACGTTCTTTGCTCTAAGAGTGTAAGTTTGTTGTTTGCCCTCACCCTTACCGTCGATGCAGATATAGAATCTTCAGATTGCAGACTTGAATCTATCGTACTCAGGACAAAGTGAGGAATTGAGGCACAGAGTTCATAATAATAGCAGAGAGAGGGAGCTTAACATTTCCTTGCACCTATAATCTACATATGGAACAATCCACAATTACCTGAGCCCTTAAAGAGCCTCGTAAAGAACCATTAATTTAAAAAACATTTATGTATCAGCTATATTGGGATGCACCACTAGATGGTACAAAAACCTAGTTTTCTGGTAATGATTTGCTCATTTTGTGAGGGCAATGACAGAGTCTTTAATTTGAAATACTCTGAATATGTTCTTTGTGAGGTTAGAAAGTGAAAAACATTGAAACAACACCTGGGGAAAATAACATTACATTCTCATTTTCTGTTAGTTTGCTTCCAGCTTGCTAATGACAGAAAACGTCCTTTTGGGAAGACAATTGGAACACATTTTCAAAATTTCCCAACTCTTTGGCTGGGGTTTTGTGTCCTCAAACCTAATTGCAATAGTGATATGTCCACTCTAACAAGCTTAACCTCAATAACTACTAGAATTATTGAAATTATGGTAGAAGCATTTCCAATTCTAGCTTAGAAGAGCTTGGTACCCTGAGAGTATATTGTCTTTTTTAAAATTTTTTATTTATTTTATTTATTTTTTTGCTGAAAAGAGAAATGCTTTGGAGTTTCAAAAGGGGACACAGCAGGATTCCATTTATATAAAGTTCAAAAAATAGGCAGAAATAATCTATGGTGTAAAATGTCA